CATGAATATGTGTCCCCGGTGTTCCAGGGAACTCACCAAGTGTCAGAAAACACAACCCTCTCTATTTTCCTCCATACCCAAATCTCTTAAAAAGGGGCTGCAACGGATCTGATACAGACTGATCCAGATTTGAACACTTCTATGACGTCACAGAAGTGGCGCTATGGCTATTGGGCCAACTCCACCAATCAGGAGGAGACAGCCACGGACATTGCCGTTTCGAAAGCGCTGGAGACGCTGTAGTACATATGCCAGGCCTGTAGATGGTGCTGTTCTCATATAATCAGCACATGAAAAGACAGTGTTAAATTGAGCGAAATGAGGAATGGCAAAAATGCATGATCTGTTTGGTATTTTGAAAAATAAAAAGTATAAATATGCCTTATTGGCATATTGGTATGGTCCTACACTATATTATTCAAATATAGCATGATAGGTCCACTTTAATGTGTTGCTTAAAATAATACTTCTGCATACAGTATGTGACACTGTGAGTGTTGCACGGGCAGATACGGCTCAGCTGACTCAGATAAGGAAATATATGATACATTATGATGTGATATGCCGCGGACTGTACTTAATGTTACTCTGATCCGGTTACTTATGTTGTGGCAGATATTTAAGTAAGTAAACTTTCTTAACGCTAATGTTATAATAGTCAGATTGCTCTGAAGATGGGAGGTGATATTCTATTAATGTTCACGTTCACACAGTCGGTGATTTTTGCCGGCCGTCTTTCCTGCAACGGCAGCTTTTCTGTATTTCCTTTCTCCTGTAATATGACTTGATCGCTTTAAACTCCGCACACTGAGCTCTGATTGGTCAGCAGGCAGTGCTTTCACTGAGTTGATCTCTTAGCCTGCAACCTAACCTGCTCCCGACCAGGTTAGCCGCACAGCTTAAGTTACCATGGAGATCGAGCCTGCTAAAAAGAGAACCAGCTTCGTAGGACCGGAAACCCCGAGTTTTCCCTGAAGTTAGCCGGCTAAGCGAACATCCTGCTTCGTGGTACAGGCCTCTGTAGTGGAGAGTTAAGGATAACTCAAGTGTTGGCACTAGTTTTGTGTCTATCACTAGGTTCACCCCGGGGTGTCGGCCAGAACACCCCTTAAGGCCAAAGATCCAGAATAGAGGAGCTGAGATAAGGCTCGACTTCTTTACTGATTTAGGCCGACATACAGATATGTGTGTGGTTTTTCCTTCATTTACGCAAACAATACGAAACACTTAAGACGGCACTGCACAACTTTCCTGCAACTTCTGAAGCACATTACCCTCTGATGTATGACGTCACCCAAAACACATGGCTTAGCCCCTCCCCACTATGAAAAAATAACTAAACGGGTATCAACTCTGTATGATAACTGAAAATATATAATAATAACTTTGGGGCCTTTTCTACAGCCCGTTACCCAGTTTAGACAAAACCCTGCATACCAAATATATTTAGGTGATACCCATAAAAAAAAAAAATGTAAAAAACATTTGAGGTGAGGGTTTATACAGTATAATAGAACGTTTTAAGTTATAATGGCACTGGTAGAAATATTATGTCGTTTTAATTAGTAGACATTATAAATATTCCAAAATACATTCAGAAAATGCAAAATTAAAAAGCAAAACATATCCTTAGTGAGGCACAAGGGTTACATTAATAACATTTCCAAAGTTCCGTAATAAAAAATAATCTTACAATATTCTATACTAAGAAACATTTTACTACAGGTCAGTTCATTTTATTTATATAACAAATTGTTCTTTAAACCAGTCATTACCTTTGTCTCGGTGCTGGAGGGTTCGGCTGCAGGCGGATCGACCGTTGGCTGTCCCTCTGGAGGACTTTCCTTCTCTTCGTCCTGCTGTCCCTCTGGAGGACTTTCCTTCTCTTCGTCCTGCTGTCTGTCTTCTTCATCATCATCCGGTTTCTCTCTGTTCTCCGTCTCCTCTGAGGCTGCAGATGCTGCCGGTTTAACATCCTGGTCACAACAATCACAGAAAGTGTCAGCAAGTCATTCATTAATCTCTTATAGTTTCAGCAACATTTCATACCAAACTGATTTGTTAACAGGGTTGTTTTCGACAATTGGAAATATTTAATGACCAACATTTTGAAAGGAGAGTGGGTGGTGGACTGTTTAACTAGATTCTCAAATACTTCATGTACTTATTTCCTTCAAGTATTGGTGTTTTTTTAGGTATTAAAATGGCTAGAATAATGGATTTTGGTTAACTTTTCTATACAACACAGCTTTATGTGTAAAGCATTTTTCCAGCTGTTCTGGGACTAATAAAGGATTTCTGATTTGTAAGCTTCAGACCAAAGTGCTGTACAGAGAAATAAATAAATACATAAATACAAAAACCACACAGCTCAGCTCACAAACCATAAATTAAGTAAAAATACAAATAAAAAAGGAGTAAAACTAAAATAAAATAATACTATCTCTGTTGTAGGTTGACCATTGAAGCTACAAAAGTTTCCCCTCACCGTTTCTGATCTATTTTATTAAATGTAAAACTTTAAACGAACCTGTGAAATTTCGAAATTGTTTTCAAAAGCTTCTACGAGAGACGTTTCCTCTTTAATGGCCGCCATGACGCCCTCCTGCAAAAAGAAAGGTTTTAAAGAGTGAGCTAGTGAAGTCACCTGTAGCTAGGTAAAGTATATATTTTTTTAAATAGCCGAACTGCCCGTTTAATGACCAGTCAGCAGAATAGAGTGGTGCAGTGACGTGTCCTAAAACCCGGAAGTAAGTTAGCATTTTACCACTTCCGGTTCTCTCGACAAAAAAGCAATGGGATTCCTCCATAGGGTTTTGGAAAATATCTGGAAATAAGGTCTGTGGTTGAGACACATTTAAGAGACGGATCACGTTTTGTTCTACGACATTAAATCCATCAGCAGTGACCCCACTGGTGATTTCTGAAGAGTTTACGTGTCTGAAAAACGATGGTTGTTACCAAGTGGCTGAATTGTAGGGATGGGAACGATTAATCGAATATTCGAAATTATTCAGGTATTCGAATATGAGTTATGAATATATATTTTAGCTAAATGCGTTAGGTCTAAAAGGTGTGTTTTGCTCCGCTCACCGGTCCCTCACAGCGGGCAGAGCTGCAGGTGCTGATCTCTCTCTCTCGCGTCCGGTTATACTTCACTCGCGTTTATGTCCAAATCCATCAGATCTAGCTAGTTCTAGTTAATGATATGGCCCTCCCTACACGCAGATCACGCAGACTCAAACCTCATCTTATGCCCAAATTCCAGCTGAGAGGGTCTTCTCTACAGCTGGCCTGATTGTGAATCGCCTCCGCACCCGCCTCTCCCCTGAGTAGACATGCTCATTTTCTTAAAGAAGAATGAGTATTGAATAGCTGCATTCTGTGCATAGGCCCTGTTATAGGTTGTTGATCTCTGTTGTAATAGGGTTACGTTACCCTAACCGGTTATGTTGCTCGTGTATGATCCCGTTACCCTAACCGGTTATGTTTGCTCGTGTATGATCCCTCTTTCATTTAAAACCAAGTTATGTTTTAAGCATGAAAGCTGTAGGCCTATAGCTGTCAACTGTTCAAACTGTGATCACCAGTGCAATACATTTGACAAATTCGACTTGGTTTCTATACTTATTTGATCATGTATTTATTTTTCAAATTAATTTTTTTTTTATAGGATATGTACATTTCGGTTGACCGTTTTTTTGGGGGTCGAATATACATTTGCTTTCAAATTCCCATCCCTACTGAATAGGACTACTGAAGTTGTCGAGGCCGTTGTACGTGATTACGCCGAACACGTAAACACTCCCGCTAAAAAAAATTGTTTCCCCGTGTTCTGCTTTAAAGCAAGTAGGCTACCTGCCTCCTGCAAACTGTTAAAACAAACGCTTCAACTTGTACCATTTTGAATCTGTATGTTTGAATATGGATCTTAAATTGGCGTGACGTTGAAGTCGTGCGACCATACTGTAGTTCGATCAGCATAACGTTAGCATTTAGTTTCTAGCGATTAGATTTACGATTAGAAAATTATAAAAGAAGGGTAGACATGTGGAGATTATCCGACTGAACAAAACGTGATCCGTCTCTTAAATGTGTGTCAACCACAGACCTTATTTCCAGCTATTTTCCAAAATCCTATGGAGAAATTGCATTGCATTTTTGTCGAGGGAACCGGAGCTTACTTCAGGGTTTTAGGACGCGTCACTGCACCACCCTTGCATTTCTCACAACACATTAAATATATGCCTCTTTTCCTGCACTATAGTTAAGAAATGTTGGGATGCTCTCCAGTATTTGGTTAAATTACAATGAGCAAAACCGGTCATAAAAAAAATAATTTAAAAAAGAATAATCTACAAATGTTGCTCCCATTAAAAGGTCTCTAGTATTAATTGGATTATCTTAAGGACATGAAACCATACAAAAAAAAAAATATTACATGTTTACCAATATCTTCACACCCTAATTCTTAAGTGACCACCAATTTCCAAAATGTTTGAAATTAGCCAAACGGCTGTTCAATTAGCCGTTAACTACTGTAGCTATTTAGCTAACTAGCTACTTCGTTACCGTGATCTTTCGTTTTAAAAAAAAGTCATTTAAGACAACATTATATGATTAAAGACGTACCGGTTCCACGGGTCGGCTGAGAACGGGGATTTCTGCCGGTTCAGCCATTGCTGTCATCACTTGAACGATAAATAATTTCATACAGGTATCATTTTTAACCGCGACACACACACCTGCGTCAAATTTACCAGATTGGAGGAGACGGCTTCCCGTCATACCTTTCAAGATAAGAGTTGAGGAGACGGCTTCCGGTCATACCTTTCAAAATAAGGGTCGATTTGTGGAAAATGTACCCCTTGGATCTTAGAACAACAAACTACCTTAGAAATTGTGGGGGGGTTGGTCATGGGCACCACGGCAGGGCAGAAGGTGAACTGAGACCTCTCCAAGTACCAGTTTTCACTCCATATTTAGGTCTGGTCGGGGATTTGAACCGGAGACCACACGGCTCACAGTCCAAGCCCCATACTGACTGAGCCACTGCCGGAGTAAATTCACAAGCTACTCTGCAGTATACAAAGTCAAGTAAACCTTTACAGGCTTTTAAAAACACAATAATGCATCAATAACTATAATCCAAACGTGTCATATATATTATTCTGAAATGGGCAAATTTGTATTATGAGTACTTTTACTTTTAGTAGTAGGCTACTGTACTATTTATTTGTATAGCACCTTTCATTCAATCATTGCAGTCCAAAGTGCTTCACAGTAGACAATTGACATCTCTTAAAATAGTCAGAGAAAACTGATATCACACAGAATACAGTTACCAGCAAAAGTCATTCAAAATAAACATAAAAAGACCATAGAATAGACATAGAACAAAAAGAAAGTACATATAGCTGACAATACTTTTGTACTTTTACTTGAGTAACATTTTGAATGCAGGATTCTAACTTTTAATAGAGTATTCCTACACTTAAGTACAAGTTCTGAGTATTTTTCTCCTACCTCTGCCAATGTAAGTCAATGGAGAAAAGGTATTTTTGGGCCAAAATGACGTCACTGGAGTTGTAGTAGCACCGTTTGGCCACTGGGGCAATTTCCCCAAAACACGGCTTCAACGGCCGGCTTGGTTTGGTTTGACAGCGTCGCGGTGCATTCTGGGATACATGGCGCTCATGTTTACAAGATGGTAGTGGAGGATTTTTCGATCTGATTTACAAACAGAAAGTATTAACGCTTGATTCCTGACGTATTGACTCTTAAATCCTCCTTTAGTCTCGGTTTCCATCGAAAAGTGGACTCAGTTTTAAGAAAGAAACGCAGCAGGCTCTCTTTGCTCTCAATGTGTTTTAAATAGCAGATGAGATTATTTTTGCACAGTCACTGACAGACACACGGACCAACAGACACACAGACAGGACTATACCTTTGATAAATACACAGGTAAGTGCATTCATCTGGTTTTAATGTGCTTTAGTGTAGTGTTCACCTCCCTAGCTTGTTTATGTATGTGATAATAAGCTAGCTAGAGGCTAATCTGAGCATTAAACACAGAGCTGAGTGACAGCTAGCTTCAGTCAGCTGTCAGATTTGTGCAAGATCACAGTTGGTGTTGAAATGTGGCTAAAAAAAACTATGGGAGCACATTTCTGTCATTGGGATGGAAGTAAACATCCTGTTGGTCCAAACAAAATACAAAATAAAGTGACCTAGTATGTCAACATATTCAGAATCTCAAAATATGAGTTATATCGAAATAATGACAACATAATGACCTCATATCTCCAAATGATGACCTAAAATCTCTAAATAATGGCTTAGTTTCTCAAAATAATAAAAACAAATATCAGCAACGACTTCGTTATTCAAAATAAACATTTATATTTTAAAATAATGAGTTAATATTGCAAAATTATCCTAAAATAATAATGACATGTGTAAAAAAATGACAAAAAAATGACTTGGTATGTCACAATAATCACAGATTTAAAAAGATGATTCAATATCTGAAAATGTATAAAAATGTTTCTGGAAAATGTGGGAATCTTGATGAATTATTTAGACATTTTAATGCTATTAATTATTTTCAGATACCAGCTCATTATTAATAATAATTAATAATTCCTTATAGCGCTTTTTCCATGACCCAAAGCGCTTTACAGATACATATTTATACTGTTCATGCTCACTGCTTGTAGCACTTTGGGATTTGAAATCAAATATGAAGTGCTTTATAAATGAAACCCATTATTATTATTATTATAATAGATGTAACGGTCATGTACAATGGACAATACCCACAGGAGCAAATTCAGGTGAAGTGTCTTGCCCAAGGACACAACAGCGACGGCAGGTTTCGCCCCCTTGAGCTGATGATCAATGCACAGCCCACTGCGCCACACCGCCCATCTTCACACCTCAAAGTCATCGAGGCGTACAACATTAATTATTAATTAAGTACACATTAATATCATACATGCAGTGGCGGCGGAATCGGGTTTCGAACTGGAGTTCCCCAACGCCCCCTTGATCTGATGATCTAACGCACAGCCCACTGCGCCACTCAGCCCCATTATTGCGAGAATGTGTTCATTTATGATGTCTCACAATATCTTTTTCATTTGTACGTTATTGTGTCTTCCACAGGACTGTCTATTGGGTCTGCAGGAGTGTCCCTGAATCCAGCCGAATGTGAGTCTCCTTATTTAGCTCAACTAGTTGAACAAATAAACCTGCAGTAATTTAAACATGTATGTACTTCATTTCCTTCCCATTTCTGTCCTTGAATCCTCTGTTTGACTTCCTGTTTCCTGACCCCTTTACAGGAACAGAGCGACTGCAAAGCATCTAATCGAGCGCTACTTTCGGCAGTTAACCGAGGGCTGTGGAAATGGCGACTGCACGAACGAGATTTGTGCATCGTGTCCCGACTTCAGATCGCTGGATAGCAACACGGCGGCCGCCAAAGCGCTGGATCTGTTCAAGGTTAACGCCAAACTCTGTAACCCCAACCCCTCCAAGAAAGAGCAAGACTCTGATCTGGTCAATAAGATGACGGACGTTGGAAACGCCAAAGAAAACTTCTCAGGTAACTCACAGCTGACTTCGTCACTATATCAGATACACGGTTATTGTGTCCAAAACAATTCACATGAATTACACTTAGGTAGTAGTTGTACTGGAAATAGCAGCAGTGGTAGTCAAATAATGTCCAAGTATCTCAAAATAATGACAAACGATCTCAAATAATGACTTAGTATTTCAAAATAATGACTCAGTATGTAAGACAACAAGAAGAATCAGTCACACTCAAAATAGTAGTAGTTGTAATCAATAATTTTGGCCCTTTTTGTGATATTTTCCAAAATAATTCACATACAAATAGCAATGAGGCAATCATTTAAAAAAAAGTTCTGCTCTAATTTTAAACAACTTCTGAACACATTTGGGAAGCAAATTCATTTCGGGTCTTAAATACATTATGTGATTTTTATTATCAACTAAATCTAAGAATGTCAAAGCATTTAAATGAATAAAAAGAGCTTGATTTGTGGTTATAATCCAATCAATTAACAATTCGTAGAGCCCTCATCTGTAGCGTGAAAAATTGATCCGTCTATTTTTTCAATATGTTTTCCCTAGCACGCTTAAATGTCTTTTTTGCTGCATCAATTACACAATATTGTTGTTATGTTCAATATTAAAGGTGGGGTAGGTAATTCAGTTCAGAAACACTTGTTGTTATATTCCATGGAATGCTCTTAACATCCCGATAGCAATGAATATCTTAAGTGCTTTGACAATAAATACATAAACACTTTCATCTGTGGAGGCCGTAGTGCTGTAAAAAGTAGAGATGTCCCGATCCGATCACGTGATCGGGGATCGGAGCCGATCACGTGATTTTCAAAAGATCGGAATCGGGAGAAAAAAAATCGGGGATTTTTTTTTTTTTAAATACTTTTTTTAAATTTTGTATTCAATGTTACAAACCAAAAATTACCATGTTCAAGTCTTAAAGTCATCCTGAGGCCTTAGTTTTGGTTTCAAATTAAACAACATCATGTATGTGTTGCTTCTTTGGGGCTTGTTTTCATAGACCTGGTTGCTTATTTCTCTCAAATCTGGCAACAGAGTGGGCAGGGCGCAGTGTCTAATTGTAGCAGTAAGCTAACGAGTACTGAAAGCTTTATTTTGTTTTGATCCAATGCTGCACAACTGAACTGATCCAATGCTGCTGTGAAAGAAAGAAGCTATATCCATGTTGGATAGAATATCCAATTTAAATAAAAAAATAACCTTAAGGGACAACTTGAATGCTTTTTTTTCTCTTAATGCATTGCATAAAGATCGGATCGGGAAAAATCGGTATCGGCAAATTCTCAAAATCAAATGATCGGAATCGGATCGGGAGCAAAAAAAGGTGATCGGGACATCCCTAATCATAACACCTCTATCAGCTGACGCCAACAGGCAGGAACAGGGAGACTAAACACTGAGAGCACACCAGCCAAAGTTACAGGTGCGTGTGCTCAGTGAGGACAGAGCTGATAAACTGGGTCAAAGTTATGGACCTTGGAAAATATTTCCCCAACAGTGTGACATGTTTACATTTTGTAATGTTCAAGAAGCTCTTTATTTTTCTGCTGCAGCACCTCTTTTCACCCTCTGTCTGAAACCAGAGCCTAGTCTGCTCCGATTGGTTCGCTGGCTGGTTTTGTTGTGATTGGACAACCACTTAGAGATTTCCCACTAGCCAATAGTAGCGCAAGTGTTACATAGTGATGTCAATATGTTACAGTAGAAAATCAAATGAGTCCAATGGAGGTGTTTCAAGGA